AAAGAAAACCACCAGTCGTTTGTTCTGATGTTTCACTGGGCTGTCGATGTTCTTCTGCTCCATACTGGAAACGGGTGCATCGTCCTGTTTTATATGCATGTGTTTGTGTGTCAGTGCTGATCTGTCGAGTATTCCTGTCCAGACAGGCTATTTTTCAGATTTCCTCCTCCTGCAGAGATGTAACCATATTTTGGCTCTCCTCCTAGTGACAGCTTGTGGAGAATGCACATTGTAATAAAGCAATTTCCTGTATGCAAATGTCCTGTTTACACGTTCCTGCTGCAGTCATTGTCACTTGACAGATTGCTTGAGTATGAGGGGAGCAGCAATACGATGAAAAATGAGAATAGTAGGACTTCAATAAAAAAAATCTATTGTGCCTTTTCTCAGCCGGAGATATGCTTGAAAGTGATGCCGACGGGGAGGATCCTCCGTTTCACACACAACAGAGGGAAGATCAAGGCCGCTATCCACAACAAGCTCCACCGATCGACGAGGAGGTGGAGAAGAAGCTCCTCCTCCATGTAATGAGGAAGAATGAAAGCGAGCGGCGGGGATGAGGTAATGGGCGAGTGGCATGGGAAACAGGAGGAGGTGTGAGTGAGAATCAGTGAGGAGGAAAAGAAAGCGAGCGGGCTCCTCTGTGATGCATTTGGGTGATGACACAAAATCTACCTGGCTGTCACGTCTCTAGCAGAGAGGATGATGGGATGTTCTGAAAGCGCTGGAGCACACACCTGCAGAGCTAATTCACAGCCTCTGATTCACTACTGTCATCCTGCTCGGGGCTAAATGAAAGTCTTTTTTACACTACGGGGTTACGCGTTCCCTACATGGTGCAATCATACCAATCAGCGCCTTCTTTCTTTAAAGCAACACTTCATCATCTCCTGTTAAACACACACACCTACAGGCTGCTGACGCCTGCATGGATAAAACATTTGAATCTACTTCCTTAACTTGAGATTCTTGCAGCAGTAATTATTTTTACCTTGGAGTTCTTCCTTGTGGGAAATCTGAACAGAGTTTCTGTTTTCATAGAGAGCAAGGTGAAAGCTTTGAACGTGAACTGGAGTTTAAAGATCGGAGCAGGTGGGTGATAAAAAAATGAAAACACATCTGCCTCAATCCGGACCCGTGTTGCCAGATGTTCCATAATGAGCTGAACCATAATCCTGCTCTCTGTACGATCAATAATTACCATCATTTTGTGTTTTCAATGTCCCCTCAATTTATAAACGTTGTTTGGGATTTGAGAGCAACCAATCACCTCTAACCTGACTGAGGTGGCCATGACATCAGCACCTGACTGACACACCTGCCGCTCGCCTCTACCTGCCAATCAGATCATCACTTGATGCCCTGCTCACCAACCGACTCGTTATGCCACACAGATGGTAGGAAAACGCACGGCACCACAATTTAAGATGCTGCTAGCTTAGCTTAACAGCGGAGCATTTAATAAAAATAATAATAATAATAAATTAGACTTTTCTAAATACTCAAGACGCTTAACAAGGAATAACAACTGGGAGTGAGTTCCAGAGGGTGGGAGCAGCAATGGAGAAGGCCCTGTCCCCCCAGGACCGATGGTTTGTCCTGCAGGGGGGCGTGGCAGGAGGGGAGGTTTGCATCAGCAGTTAGCAAACAATATGCACTTTAATAGTTAAATAGTTTTTTCCTTTGGTTGTTTATTTATTTAAATGAATGTTGTGTTCAGGGACGAGCGTTGCATGGTTTCAGTTTGGATTTTAAGAACTTTCTCAGGTTTTTCTCCTCTGTACGATAGTTTTGAGTAACATATGATAATCTTAAAGGTGTAGTATGTGGAATTATATGGCAATGTTTACCTTCAAATAACAAGTAGTAGCAGAGAGAACTCCCATGATTCCCCGCGAGCCTCAACGTCATCTTTTATTATTGTTTTGATGAGAGCCCCCTGGTGGCGGATTTTACATACTGTACGTTTAAAGCTGCAACACTAATCCCGACAATGAGCCTAAGGTGGTGCAGCATTGGCGATAACAAATTTTTGTATCGTCTCTTGCCTATTAATATAGAACAGTCATAAAAGTGGCTCCGATCAAAGACAATGCAGTTTGACATGTTTTGCAGAATTTTCAGTTTATGTATTTGAATCGGCGTCTATGTGCAGGAAGAAAAACTCGTCACTGCAGTCTCTCACAAAGGTTCAGCTCCCGTTAGCTCGGCCAACCAAAGAGGAGACGCTACATACAAACAACCGGCTTGATTTAAAACACCGCCTGCTCCCTGATCTCTAAGACAGACTATAGACTAACAGACAGGTATGTTGTTGACGCCATGCTTCATGTCAACTGTTGAGTCTTCAGAGAACTAATACAGCAAAATACTGTATGTACAAAATGATTACAGGGTTATGAATACCTACTAACTTAATGATGATGGTCTCCATATTATTGATGATGATGATGGTAACGACGATGGTTTTTGTTTGATAACGACGACTTATAAGATGGTTTCTATACTGATTAGAGCTCTCAAGAACTGCCCTCAATGTTGTGCTTTGCCTCTGGTCACTTCCTGTCAGCACCTGTGTGTCCAATCAGACTCAAAGCTGATCGTTTGCTCTTACTGACATTGTTCCCTTTTTTCTAGATCCTTGCTTGTGTTGTTCTTACTCTCTGATGTACGTCGCTTTGGAGAAAAGAGTCTGCTAAGTGAATTGTAGATTCTTATCTGAATGTGAGAGTTGTTTCCTCTCACAGCAGCGGTAAATAATGTGAAAATCAATACGAGTAACTGGTTACTCATTTTTCAGCCGTCAGCCCATCACTGGTTCTGAGATTGCTTGATTTGGAAACAAGAGTTCTCTTCTGATGAGTTTCCAAAGTTTCTGACTCCCCTCCTCGACGCTCTCTGGGTCTGTTGTTTTGTTTCCTCTCGGCTCTCGGTCATGGACAGACTCGGGGCGTTTATCCGCTGACAGCACTTGTAAATGGTGAGAGTGATAACTGGAGAACAACAGCTCCACATTCTCATCTCAGAGCACTAATATGATGAGACGGGTGCTGGGAGCACGGGGGGGCAGGCAATATAATTAAGGTCTCTCCCCAGAATGTAATCTTTCAGGGAAGAGGAGGGGGGGGGGTTGGGGTGGATGACGGGAGCTCAGAGGGGAACAAAACACTCCCCGTCTTGGAGAATGGCGAGGTGGAGGCCTGAGAGCCGCTATTCCGCTGGGGGGGAGGAGGGGGGGGGGGAAGTGAGGTAAAGAGGGAGGTAATGCTAGGCTGCTGGAGCCAGCCAGCCTCTTTCTGGCTCCCCGGCTATTAAACTCAATCCTCTGTGGAGCCCCCATCAGGAGCTGGTGACTGCGCCCGGCCCCCCGAAAAAAAAAAGATGATGGCATGAAAGAGAGGAGGGAATTGAAAGAGGGACAGAAAGGAGAGCGGGAGCAGACGATAATGGATGTTTGTTTATCTCACACACAGGATGGAGGAGCCGTAACCAAGGACAGACCGTGGTTGTTATGCATCCCTGAATTTTTCACTTCTTTCGAGGGACGTTTTCTACTGAGCGCCGTTATCACAGTCAATCAAATCTGACATTAAAATCTCATCAGAATATCAACTGCTATGTAAATGATCAACCTCGCTGCTTCACTGACGAGAAGTCTAAACTATTCCAATCCCACCGAGGCGACCTGACACTTGTTTCACCAAACCGTCTGCACACACGCTCACTGTTCATATTCCCAAACGGTGGCCGAGCGGCTGCAGTGAATTCGTTTAACATTTGAAGGTGTCACCGACGCTTGACAGCTCCTAAAAATCCAGCTTCCATGGGACGACGTATCTGTAGCTGCAGATGTTTCCTGTGATTCAAAAGGAAGGGAAGCTGCCGATCGAATAAAAGATTCAGAAACGCCTCAGAGCATGTTAGAAAACGTCAGTCGCTTAATGTTGGCTTGCGCTATAAGATGAAACCTCACAATACAAAATTAGAACAAAGAACAATTTAAATCTGTGACAAAAAAAATAATTGGTAATACTCTTTTTTTTAACCAGCAGGGGGCGGTATCTGCTTTGGCTTCTCTTATGTAGAAAACAGTAGCTGAAGAAGAGAGGGGTAAAAATAAGAAAAAATTAAATTTATTTTGAAAGAATCATATATTTTCATTAAATGACATAAATTAGTTTTTGTACATGTGTTGTACTGTTGTGCTAACAAAGACACACACCTACACACACACACATATACCTGTTCATATCTCTCTCAGTCCAACTAGCCACCCTTAAACCCTAAACCTTATGATGAGAATATGTGTGTTTGTATCAATGCTACGTGTAGCTGAACAAAAATGTCAATGTGAACTAAAGATCCTGCTGTGTTCTCACATCAGCTCACTCTGACTTTCTGCAGAATAAATACGAGGAGGCTGGAGGAGTGAAGTCTGTGATAACTCCTAAGGAGGACTTTATGTCCACATATTCACTTTTTATATTGAATGGTAAGAGTTTGTTTACAGAATGTGAACAAGACAGCAACGTGCTGCAATCAAGGGTAAAACGAGTGACGTTCAAGTGCACACCAGAAAATAGGAAAACCCATTCTCAAACGAAAACTAATAACCTCGTTATTTATCATACACATGTTACAACAATGTCCGAGTGAAAAATTGGGTCAGGATTTTTTCAGGAGTTTTCTGCGAGTGTGAAAGCTCTATCTGTCTCTTTTTGTTTTTGTTTTTTGGGGGGGTGTTTTTATTGTTTTTTGTGTTTGTAATGTTTTTGCCAGTTTGTTTAATCCGGGCTGTGTGATTTACTGCCCAGTTCTCTTTAAAGTCCTCTCTCTCTGAAGATTTTCACAATAAAAGAAAAGAAAAGAAAACTGTGATAAAACCGAGATCATATTGTTGACCCAGTATCATGACACATACCCTATTTGAGTTGAGTGCAAGCAAGTCACTGTGCTGGATGGTATTTTTTATATACTATATTGGAAGAAAGCACACTTACCTTGAAAGATTTCAGGAATTTTCTTCTTGTAGATGGCAAAGTCAGTCTCGAGGAAGACACAGAAAATGACCCGAGTGATCTGTGGACGAAAGGAAAGAGATGTCAGTGAACAGGACCGAATCACGGCCATTCAGGAACTCCATTAGTGAACCCTCACAATCAAGACCAGCGTAACCAGACACCCGGAGACATCTTTCAGGGAATATGTTACAGCACATTACATCAGAGGAAGCATTAGCGAGTGGCTGAATTGGTTTCGAGCTGAGCAATACCCCAAAGTACCCGACAAAGTGCAACGACGTGAAATTGCACCGTCGAGGGTGAGGGATGGAGAACACTTCACCCAAATTAGGGAAGTACAAGAGAAATGTCAAATAAATTAATGATGCTGCAACACATCCAAGATGGTGGACGAAGCAGAGCGCGACACTATGATGAGAGTTATTGCCTTTGTTTCAACGCTTCATGTAATTAGACGTATTCAAGGTATTAACAAAAAAAATTGGCACGCAGAAAAGAGTACGAGGCCACATCTTTAGGGTGAAGAAGATCCTGCTGGTTTTGCAGAATTCCCAGAATAAAGACGTCATCACTCCTGCTCGTTCGCTCTCAGTGGACTTTCCTGAATATTTCCTGCTGCGTGCTCACAACGCCTCACCTCCACTTCTTGCAGAAATTGTAACTGATGGATAAAGAGCAGTAAACTACTCGTTTCTCGATTGTATGGTTTGTATCGTCAGTGACGATTCTAGAGTCTGTTGGGGCCCTGGGCAAAAACCAGCTGGGGGGCCCTCCAACCAGCGTTCATCACCATCATTTCTGCCACTCTTCTTCCTCTTCCTTTTTTCTCTCTCCTATAGAAGGAAAGTTCCTCTTTATCTTTCCCTTTAACCTTTTTCACAGCAATAATGTTTGGGATGCTTAAGTGGACAATGACAGTGAGATGGGGCCCCCCTTAGGAAGATTTACGACTGTTGTTGCAAAATTTGCACATTTTGGGCCACTGCTTCGGTTTAGAAATCTTCGGTTTGTGAGCTCTCAGGGGCGCCCCCTACTGGTCTGGGGCCCCACGCAGCTGCCTCCCTTTCCTGTTGACGAGCAGCGCCTCTGTGTGTGTGGTACTGTAATAGGTCAACAGGAAAAATGTCCGGTAGTAACTAGCTGACTTAGGACATATCGCCCCCTGCTGCAGCGGAGTCAAAGATACTTTAGCTCTGAACTTATAACTGCTCAAATATTTAAAAAAAAACTGTTCAGCTGGTGTAAAAGATCCAAAGCTCAAATATTTCACTGACTGATGCACGCTAAATTTAGCATGAATAAAAAGCACCAACTGCAGATAACATTCCAACCCTGCAAACTATGGGCCTAGTGTCGGTTTTTAAACAGAGATGTAACACCGTCTGTCTGCACTTCCTGTATGATAATGTGTCTTACACAAGGCTGCAGAAAGTCTGCAGAGGACGAGGTCACCTCTCTCTCCCTCTCCTCCGTCCTCTGGTGGAGTCTCAGATGTGCAGGCGTCAGTCACAGACACAGAGATGCATTACACACCTCAGCAGCAGATAATCGCTCGACTAAATAATGGCAATTTAAACACAACAGCTATAATGGTGGCTATCTGCCCTCCGTCCTCCTTCATGCAGGAAAAGTGAAGTTATGAGAGAATAAAGGAAAGCTCGCCAGCTCACCAGCCCCCCTTCCTGACCCAGCACCACACAAGGATCTGATTCAAAGAGGCGCCCTTCTGATGCTCCTACAGACAAATATCTATTAATAGTTTATGATCTGTGCTTTGGAGTAAATGTTAGGAGCTGCATCCAGGATGGTAACATTTTTATTCTGCTAGAAGTCTAGAGGGGAAGTCTTTGTTCATAAAATGTAGACTGCCTCTCTGAACCCCTTCAACCCCCCGAAAGAAAAGCTTTAAGTCTCCTTTGAAGTCACGGGCTCGCTGACAAACAGATTGTGCAAAAAGCGATAAGGCGCCAAGATAGAGCCTACCACTGGGTGCAGGAGGGCCACAGGACAGCAGCTCCCCGGGAATTTCCATTACTCTTTTATAACGCTCCATTCTCAAACCGACTACCCACTGGGAAACCGGATGAATCATGAATTTATGCCTTCATGAAACACACAAAAGCTGGTGTGTGTGTGTGTGTGTGTGTGTGTGTGCACAAGAGGCAAAGAAAAACAAGGAAAGCCACAAATATTTTCTTATATCTTATGTTAAATGCGATGCAGGTAAGAAGAAATAGTAAGGATTGTATATTCTGAGTTTACTGAAAGAAAACCAAACAAACAGAAACTCTCAGCATCCATGTCATGTAGACTCTGTTTCTCTGCCTTCCTCTCCCTCTCTGTCAATCTCTTTGTGGAGTTTCTGTTACAGCGTGTCCACAGTCTGCAGAAAGCTAGGGGGAAGGTTTCTTTTATTCTGCAGATCAGAGACACATCGTATGGTCTTTGACAGATATCAGCCAGACCAGGATGCCATAAGAAAAGCCCACAATTGCGGGTGTTGAAACCTTGACATTCTGTCTGCATCCAAACAAACAAAGACGCTGTAAAATGAATTGCATGTAACAGAGAAGGTGATCTCTGGCTTCTTCTTTTTGTAAAAGTAAAAACCCACCAGTCTTTGCTTATTCTTTTCAAAGGCGCCTTATCTCCTGCATGCACACATGTCGTGCTGAAAAGTCAAAGCAGGACGATCAATGAGCGGCTGCACAGCCTTAAGAAGCAAACACACTTAAACTAACAGTTTTTATCCATAAAAAACATTTCTCATGAAACACACTCGTACTTTCTTTCATGCATGCTTTAACATTTTTTGCTTGATCACCTAGAACAAGAGAAATGTTGAAAAGCTGTAAGTGTCATTATCGTGCATACAGTACGTCATTGGACAGGACGGCTGAAGAGAGACAGGAAATGCAGAGAGGAGAGCTGACCAAGCAGCAACCTCCGGAGTTGAAAAATGAAGCGAATGCTGAAGTGCAAAATCCCTGCAGTTCATCAAGTGTCCACTAGAGGCTGGCTGCAGGAACACCGCAAGTCACACACACCCATTTAAAAAAAAAAAAAATTTTTACAGCATAAATAAACATGTTTACAGCCTGGTACAAAAAACTAAGTCTGATTAGATATTATCATCACTGGCACTGTTTTCATTATAAAAACAATACTAGTTATCCATAGCTAGCCGTGTAGCTAACCTGAGTGATGTGGGCGCGGCGTAACGGTTTGTCAGGAGGTTTAAAACCCGCTCAGCTCCAGCTCTCAGCCTGTCGTTAGATCGACTGAAAGTTAGACTGAGACAGCATTTTCAACATGGCGGCTGCTGCCCATGAGCCTCTGGAGCCCCCTGCAGGAACAGATAGCTGACGTCACTCAGGCTTCAAACATTCATATTTACAGTCGATGGGTAGACATGCAGCAAAAGGCCGAGGTCAGATTCAAACCCACAGCTGCTGTGACGAGCGCTGCAGCCTCCGCACACTGGGCACACGATACAACCGCTTGTGCATGATTATAAAAAGCAGTGCACGGTTTAAGATGTGGCTAAATATTAATTTAAGATCTGCATGTTGAAAAAGAGGCCCAGTGTTTCTGTCTGAGATTGTAAGGTCTGTGTGTGTGTGTGTGTGTGTGTGTGTGTGTGTGTGTGTGTGTGTGTGTGTGTGTGTGCGCGCATGTGTGTTTGAGTGTGCACCCTGCAGCCGCCAAGGTTGAAAAGTTAATGGAAGACTAATTAGAAAGCTGGGATCACGGCATGCTAACCTGCCCGGTCATTACTCATCCCTGATTGGGGGGCGTTCTGCCAAAGGGTGAGCACATGATGATTGGCCCCCTCACCACCCCCACCCCCTTCTGGCTGCACACGGGACGGTCGTCCTGACAGAAATCTGTTCTGCACAGTAAGCTGTGAGACTTTCCAGGTCGCTTAAATTTGTTGCTCTTCGATCTTTAAACGGACAATTAAAGAATTCACTCGACTCTGGGGGGATTTTTAACAAAAAACAGTGTGTTTCAACTAAAAAGAAAAGCATTGTCACCAATAAAAACACTATTTTTAGAAACCATCTGGGCTGTAAACGTTGAGTGATGCAGGTTTGAGATCACATTTCAAAAAAAGTCCAGAACATTTTTTCCATGGCGCCTAATCAATTCAAAAGCAATGCCCGCTCAGCTGTAATTGGTTTCTGAATATATGATAAGATGAGGCTAATTAAAGTGATCATGTCGGGGGGGGGGGGGGGGGGTGCAGCCTCAGCTAGCTCGTTAGCATGGCACCTGAAATCAGTCAGTCAGTGGCAGGTCATGTAGCCTCGCTGCTAATGAGCAGAGTGAAATAGTGTGGACATTGTCTTTGTGTTGTGAGGTGCTGTATGTGGGTTTTTTAATTTGTGTGTATCTGCAGCTCACCAGGTGCCTCACTCTCCTGCTGGCCCCGGCTAACAGATGAGCTGTCATAGCCGGCCACCCATGCCCGTAATTACATCGAGGGCAGTGCCAGCAGAGTCTGACGTGCAGGGCACAACGCACGCACTTTTGTTACTTGCATTCCTTCTTGATTCTGTCACAAACAATAATAGGGACAGGTTGCCCTAGCATGTCCCTCCAGCTGGAGCCCGAACCCGAGGGAGGTGTGTGTGTGTATGAGTGTGTGTGAGTGAGTGTGTGTGTCTGCTGCTGCCTTGTTACTGAGGCTCTGGCTCATTCAGAACCCTGAATGGTTTCATCCAGATGGACATCAGTGACAGCACACTGATATACGATATTAACACTGGCTGAAATAATTCCAGTCGTTCGCTTTATTTGTTTTTGTTGAAGGTCGCAGTGAATAAAAACATCGGCGTGCGTCGCATGGCAGGTCACCGATCCATCACAGAGTCTGAGCGTAATGAGTGCTGTGTGCATCACGCGCGTCCGACATCCACACAGGAAATACATACTGTGTTTGTTGTGTTTATGATTTATTCATCTCTGACATGACACATGAGTGCCGTGCCTGTGATCGTGCGCTGATAGTTACATGTCATTGTTCAAGACAGATTGAATAATTCCAGCAAATTA